TTATGAGGTTTTCTGCTATAATGCATAGCAGTTACAATTTTTGCAAAGTTGTCATGCGTAAGTCCTTTCTATTTCCACTCAATTTCTATTTCTATTCAGTATTCTCTGGTATAAGAATGTAAACAGTTTAACTTCATTTAGCCCCTTATAATTTCTTATTCATGTTTACTTTTTTATGCTTCTCTTGAATCCTATATTTAAATGTCAGATTTTCTATTCAGCTCTGGTCTTCTCATCAGGAATGCTTAAAAAGTTCTCTATTTTATTAAAGGTCCCTTTTTTTCCATGTAGGACTATACTCAGTTTTGATGGGTAGGCTATTCTTAGTTCTAATCCTAAATCCTTTGCCCTCTGTAATATTGTATTCCAAGTTTCTCTTTTCTTTTAAAGTGGTGGCTGCTAAGTTTTGTGTACTTGAATTCTTTTTCTTCTGTCTGCTTGAGTATTCTTTCCTTGGTCTGGGAGCTCTGTATTTTGCTGATAATATTTCTGGGACTTTCATTTTGGGACTTCTTTCAGGAGATAACCAATAGATTCTTTCAGTTTCTACTTTGTCCTCTGGTTTTAAGATTTCTATGAAGTTTTCTTTTATAATTTCTTGAAATACAATGTTTAGATTCTTTTTTCTTTAATGACTTTCAGGTAGGCCAGTGATTCTTAAATTATCTCTACTTGATCTGTATTCCAGTTTAGTTGTTATTCCTTTAAGATATTTCACATATTCTATTTTTTTCAGTATTTGTTTTATAATTCCTTATAATTTCATGGAGTTGTTAACTTCCTTTTTGCCAATTTTAATTTCAAGAAGTTATTTTCTTCAGAATAGTTTTTTTACCTCCTTTACCAAGCTGTTAATTTTCTTTTCATATCTTTCTTGCATAATTATCATTTGATTTTTAAAATCATTTTTAAAATTTCTTCTTTAACTTTTCTAGGAATTCTTGTTGGGCCCATGTCCAATCTACATTTTTCTTTGTGATTTTGCTTGGAGATATTTTCAAGGCATTGTCTTCTACATTTGTGTTTTGAGATTCCTTGTTGCCTATAGTAACTGTTTATGGTTGTAGTCTTTTTTTTTTTTTTTATTTGCTCATTCTTCCAGCCTACTTCCTGAGTTTGGACTGCTGGGCTCTGTGCTCTTCTGGGGTGAAGCGGGTAGGGAATCTTGTCTTGCCTGAGTTTTTGTCTTTTTGTGTCCTACTTTTACAGGTCAGACTAGAAGTTTGCAAGTTTTCAGTGTTCCCAAAGTAGTGTGATCGGGGAGAGGTTTGTTCACCAACCTCTTGGTTTGAACTCTAAAAGTTCCTAATAACCTATGTTTGGGAATGTTCGCTTATATGTGGTAGAGTCTCAGCAGGTTGCTGTTGGACCCTGTCATTGTTAGCCTGCTGGGTGGTTATGCAGGTTTAGAGTGACTGAACTGCTGACTCTCTCTTGGTCTAAGACTCCTGCCCTGGACTTCTTTATCTGAATCCTTAAGCTGCCATGGACTAGAAAAATGACTTGCTGCAACTTTTTCTTGGCTTTCTCAATTATAATTCAGTCTAGTGCATTTTCCAGATTATTTTTGAAGAGGTGTTCTGGGCAAGCTAGGCAAAAAATGTTTCCTTTCACTCCACAATCCTGACTCTGCCTAATGTTGTTGTTCAGTCATGTCTAACTTTTCTTGATCCCATGGACCATTCTGTCCATGGGGTTTTCTTGGTAAAGATGCTAGTGTGGTTTGCGATTTCGTTCTCCAGTGCATTAAGGCAAACAGAGGTTAGGTGACTTGCCTCGGGGTCACTCAGCTAGTAAGTGTCTGAGGCTGAATCTGAACTCAGGTCTTCCTGACTCCAAACCTAGCACTCTGTCCAGTGAGCCATCTAGCTAATTCTGGACTCTGCCTGTAGTCTCCAATTAATTTTGATTATTTCTTCAGAGTTTTTATTATGCTGTGGTAAGTAAAGAATGTATTTACCATTTCTGGCTTTGCATTTATGTATGTATGTATGTATGTATTCTTCTCTGTTCCAGTTTAGTAATTGCCAGAGATTTTTTATATCTAAATTATATAAAATTCTAGTTGGTTAGTTATCTTCTTGCTAGATTTGTCTAAACTTGAATGAAATAAATCAAGGACCTCAGCTATTATAATTTTGTCAGTTTTTCCCTATAAAAAGGTTAACTTTTTCTTAAGTATTTAGATACTTCATCATATGATGCATATCTTAAGCATTGATATTAATTCATTGTCTATGGTTCCTTTAAATATCATATAGTTTCCCTCTTTATCTCTTAATCATATCTGTTTTTATAATTACCTTGTTTGGAATAAAGATTGCTGTTCCTGATTTTTCATTTTACCTGAAGGATAATAAATTCTGCTCTAGCCCTTTAATGATACCAGGAATCTTTATGTTTCAAGTGTATTTTTTTGTGAGGAATATATTATTGAACTCTGTTTTCTAATCCATTTTGCTGTCCTCTTCCATTTTATAGGTGGCATCTCATTCATATTCCTTAACCTGTAGGCTCTGAATTTTGGCCGAAATTTCTTAGGAGTTTTCATTTTAGGTTTTCTTTTAGGAAGTAACCAGTAGATTCTCTCTATTTTTACTTTTCCCTTTGGTTCTTATAAGTCTGGGCAGTTTTCATTTATGATTTCTTGAAATATGGTATGCACCCTTTTGGGGAGGTTGTAGTTTTCAAATAGTGTTATAATTCTTAGATGATCTCTCCTTGACCTCTTTTCTAGGTCATTCTTTATAGGATATATTTTATATTTTCCTCAAATTTTTCAGTCTTTTGATTTTGTTCTCATATTTCTTGTTGTCTCAGAGTCCTGGATTTCTGTTTAGGCCATTCACATTTATAAAGTAACATTTTTGTTTTTAGTTGGTTGTCTTATGTGTTTGTGTCTTGAGCTTCCCCGTCACCATAGTAGCTTTTTATGGTTGGGTTCTTGTTGTTGTTGTTGTTGTTGTTAGCTCATTCTTCCAGACAACTTCTTGACTATGGACTTTATGTTAAAGTTGGGCTCTGTTCTCTTCTGGGAGGGATGTCTGACCTAAGCTTCTGCCATTTTATGTCTTTCTTTCATATCTCAGTCTGGACGCCTCCAAGTTTTCAGTGCTTCCAAAGTGGTATGATCCAGGGAGAAGTCTGTTCACTGCCCTCCTGGTCAGAGCTCTACAAATACTTTACCCAGGTTTGGGTCTGATGGCTTATATGTGGTTGACTGCTGCTGGACCCAGCTTACTGAGTAGTTCCATAGATTAAGAGTGAATGAACTGTTGGCTCTCCCTTGGTTTTAGTTTCCTGCCCTGGTTATTGCACTGCAGGCTTAAGTGCTGGGCTAAATATTAGAACTGAGTTGCTGCTCAGTTCCTGGACTCAGAGTCATAGAGCTAAGCTTCTTGCGCTTCTTACTTATTCAGTATACCAGCTCACTCATGGCTGTTCCTCTTCCTGTTAGATCTCTGACCCCGAACTAGGTAATGGGTGACAGAACTGCTAGGTGTTGCTCTCAGAGATAGGTCAGCATACCTCAGGATCTCTTTCTTTCCTAGCGCTTGCTGCCCTGGTGCTCTATCCTGGCTTCTTTCTGTCCCTAGGCACTGGAATGTTTCAGGTTCCTGTTACTGTTGCTACTGCCAGGGTGCGGTGCTCCTGGCCAGTCTCTCACCCTAGTGTCAGAAGATCCATGTGCCTTCCTATACTGCCCTGGGCTGGAAAAATTACCCACTGACTTTTTGTTGGTTTTTCTAATCAGAATTTGGTCTGGCATGTTTTTTTAGGTTATTATGGAGGTAGTATGCTGGATGAAGTAGACAAAATTGTTTCTCCTCTCACCCCACCATCTTGAGTTCACTTCCTCTCTTCCTTTTAGAAAACACTTGATTCTCTCTCTAATGGAATTGCTAATGGAATTAATTAATTCTAATGGAATTAATGGAATTAGAATTAATTAATTCTAATGGAATTCAGATGCAGCTGAAATTGGTTTTGTCTGGGTAGGTGACATAACATTGGCTTAGACCGGATAGGTGACATAACATTATTGGAAAGATGTAAAGTAGTGTGGATTTGGCTTTATAATGTAAAGCATATTAGGCAGCTACAGACCTGAACATGAATAGGAACATATACAAATACCTCTTAATGTATCTAACGGACTTGGCCTTTCTCTTAAAGATAGATTCCATAAACCTAAATCAGGGGTTAGCAATTTTGAGCAGCTGTACTCTGAAAAAACTTCCATTACAGATGTTTAAAGATACTGTAGTTTTGTTTGTTTATTTTTAAGAGGAGGGGTCCTGAGCCATGCTGGCTTCTATTAGACATTGGAATATGATTCATAATACCATTTATCTTTGGAAGAAAATCTCATTGTTCAACACTTTTAATACAGTCCTGTCAAAGACAGTTTATTAATTATCTTAGCAGTGTTGCTAAGAGAGAGAGAATGCCAAAAGGTAGAGTTTCCTCTTTATTGTCGGGATTTTCTCTGCCACAAGAACTATTTATTTTTTGTTGATCAGGAAACAAAGACAAAATTTACAAAGAGCTAAGGCAAAGATAAAAAGTTTAGTTGGTAGATGCTTTGTTTGTGGTGACTCAACTAGTAATGACAATGGCTTCATTTCTTTGCTCACATTTGACCAGATTGAGAGAGTGGTTAAAGAGGGAATATCCCTTTGTCAACTAAAGGAACTGTCTCAGTGTATCATGGTTTAAATCAAAGGAGTTAACTTTTTGTTAATGTGGAGGAGATCCTTAAGTTTTCCTGGAAGACATATATTTCTAAGTATGTACTTCTAAGCATTAACATTTCTATTGTTCTGTTTAAAGATACTAACTACAGGCATATAATTTTTAAATGTTAGCATGTATTACTTAAAAATATACTGTATTCTTTTTTAGGGGTCTGGTATTAAATTTCTTAAGCACAGGTATGATTTGGACAATGTCTGCATAAAGAATTCTAATTTGGATTTTTTTCTATTCTCAATTCAGAAATTTCATGGGAGTATAACTGCAAGTATCTGGGATGCCACTATTAAAAGTGCCACTTAGAAAACAGAAAGAAATTGGTAAGTATTTTTAAAAAGCACAGAGTGACAAAGTATGCCGTTTTCTTGACCTTTTTATTGAAGTGTGTCACTCAAAAAGGTAAGTTTTGTTTTAACAAATGCTTTATGCTTTTGATTGTTTACCTTGTTACTACTGCACTGTGATATATGTGTGTATATATGTATGTATGTATGATATATTGTGTATATATGTATATGTACACACAAACACACACAAGGACAGTAAGTAAAACTTGTGGTGTGGTATTCATTTGAAGTATTGACTTGAATGTGCAATGTCATAGGTAAAATCCATCTGAAACATTTTAATTCTCTGAATGTATTATCTGACCTACCCAGCTGCTTGATCTCTTCCTCTTGGTCTGCCCCTACTACCCACTGGCTAAATACCTTCTAGCAGAGGGACAATATGACAAGTCCAGGAAGTTTTTCCTGCACTCAACATAGTATTTCACTGTGCATAGCATTTCCCCCTTGTTTTCAGGAATTAGAAGTAACAATGATAAAAAAAAATAATAATCAACTCTGAACTCCATCAAGTACAGGAATCCAAAAAAGGAAGCATGCAGCAGAGACACACTTGGGTCCATAGAAGGGAAAATGTGAAACAGTATGGTGCTACAGCAGGAGACAGGGCCAGACCAGCACCTAGCACAGACCAACCTAGAACCACAATTAGATACAGAAGAGAGCTATGCCAGCATCCAGGCAGACTGTACAACCAAACATTCAGGCAACCCCAGCTCAACTCAGCATCTAGGCGGCTTAGAAATGAACCATAGCAAGAGATAAGACCAGACAATTTTCAAATAAGTCAGGGCCTAGTTTTTTCCACCAAATGCAGAATCAAGTAGGGCCTACCCACCCCACGTAGGAGTATGGGAATGAAGTTTAACCAAAGCATAAGCTCCTGGTACAAAAACTGAGGCTTAAGATATGAGAGTAAATAGAAGAAAACACAGAAGACAATGAAGAATTACTCTGAAATGAGAGAAGCTCAAGAGGGAAACTTGAAGGAAAAAAATAAATCCAAGTAGAGTCTTAGAGAAAGGAATACTCTTACCACAAGGACTACAAGAGTGCCTGAAAGAGATGAAATTGAGAGATACAAAATTTAATAACTGAGGAGGAAAAATGGCAAGAAAAATTAATTTCTTAGAGTAGATGAATTGAAAATCTATGAAAATTAGAATGGAGCAAACAGAAAACAGTGACTATGAGATAGCAAGAAATATTAAAGCAAAATTTTTAAAAATTGAAAGAAAAAAAACCAGAAGAAAATATAAACAATTGACTTGGAAAACAGAACAAGGAGAGAGAAAAACAAACCATAGGATTAACTGAAAATCATTAGGAAAAAAATCTTGGATACCACTTTTCAAGAAATTATACCTAAAAACTGCCTCGCTCTCTTAGAACAAGAGGGTAAAGTGAAATAGAGAAAATCCACCAGTTACATCTGTAAAGAAACCCCAAAATGAGAACTCTTAGGAATGTCACAGTCAGAATCCAGAGTTTCCAAGCAAGTAGCCAAAAAGAAAGAGTCAAGTGCTAGGGAGCCACAATCAGGATCACACAAGACTTGTTAGCTGCTAAGATAAAGAAGAAAACTTGAAATGTATATTCCAAAAGGCAACAGATAAAAGTGTATAACCAAGAATATCCCTATGTGGCAAAACTGAGTATAATCTAACAGGTGTGGGGAAATGGATCTTTAATGAAATAGAGTAATTCCAACTTTCCTGATGAAAAGGACATAACTGAGTAGATACTTTGAAATGGGAAAGCAGGAGAGAAGAAAAGCATAGAAATGTACAGACACTTGATCAACTTGAAGGCACTCAGAATAAATTGTCTTCATGCTGATGAGGGAGAAGAAACGGATATCTTCTCAGAGCCCAAATGTCTTTAAGGGTCATAGAGAAAGGTAAGTAAGATAAACAGAGGGTCTGGAGGTGGTTTTCTCCTGAACCGGACAAAGGGAAGAAGAACATCTTTACACATATATGCAAAGAAAATACATTAGAAATGTATTAAACTCAACAGGGAAGTTGGTAGAGAGGGAGAGTCAGTTAGTGGATAAGCATTTGATAAATACCTACTATATGCCAGGCACTGTGTTAAGTGCTGGGAATACAAAGAAGGGGAAAAGACAGTTCTTGCTCTCAAGGAGTTCACAATCCAGTGGGGGAGACAACATGCAAATAACTACATACAAACAAGATACATATAGAATAAATTTAAGATAATTAATAGAAGGAAAGCACTAGCATTATGAGGACATCAGGAAATTGCATAAAGCAAAAACCTCTCTTTGGACGTGTCTAGAATATATATCTCATTCTGCATTTTGAGGCAATCACCTGTCTGTCATGTTTAGCGTAACATGTTTCATCTTTGGCCTTCTGGAATTGTAGCTTATTAATCAAAATCGATAAGAGTCCTGAAGTGTTTCAGATTTGTTTTTCTTTAAAATATTGTTGTTATTGTATAAATTATTCTCCTAGTTCTACTCATTTTATTCTGTACCAGTTCATAACAGGTATTCCCATTTTCCTCTGAAGCAAACCATTTTATTATTATTGTACCTTATTGGTGCAAAAATAATCTGCTACACATTTATATATCATAATTGTTTTGTCTGTTTCCCAATAGGGGAATAGGTGAGCACCCTTTTAGTTTCTAGGGTTTGTTTTTTATTTGTTTGCTTATTTCTGCTACTCCAAAAAGAACTGATATAAGTAATTTTTGTACATATGGGTCCTTTTCCTCTTTTTTTGTAATATAGGCCTAGTAGTGGTATTGCTGGGTCAAAAGTCACAGTTTAATGACTTTAGGGGCATTTCTTTCAAAGAAATGTAGTTTTTCTTCTATTCCAAAGGTAGAACCTCATCTGACTCTTTCCACTAACTCTTAGGGTCACTGTTTTCAGATATAATCAGGCCTGCATTATAGCAAAGCTCCTGCTGTCACCCATTTCTTCAGACTGAGTCAGTCATACTTCACTCCCTGCCCCAGAGGAGAGCTCTCCTGGAAGCTCCTCACAGGTTTATAATGCCTTATAGACAGGACAGGTACAGATATAACAATAAGAGGTATTACCTGGTTCAATTTCTGTACAACTGGTAGGTAGTCTTTCTCAATTGGCTTAGCAAATTTTCCATCATTTCTTTTCTCTTGAACCCTGACTGCTTCCCCTTTGTGCAGTAGTTGGTTACATTGGTCTTTGCAGATACTCCACTACTCTCTGGGGCCTCTTTGAAAACAGGCAAGCTGCCCAGCCTCTTATAACTACCTTCTGTGTAGTACCTTGGCATCAGTCTTCTAATTTGTTTGTTCCCTGAAGACCAAGGTGGTGGTTGTTGTTGAGTAAAAGTCTGTTCCTTTGCTGGAGTTTTTGACAGTGAACTTGAGCATCACACTGTCTGTGTCCTTGGGAACTCTTTTAAGCTGAACTCATGGCTAATTGATAAATTTCTTTCATCCAATTTTTCAGTTGAGAAATTACGTCCTTGTTGTAAGTATTTGCATCCTCTCTATCTTCTGAGATTCCAAAGCATAGGTCAATAGGTAGGTGCTGTTCTTGCTCAAATATCAGCAAGTAAGGTTGAAAGCCTGTAGTGTCATTCCTGGTAGAATTTCATGAATATACAGAAATGCCATATACACATGCTTATACTGTGAGAAACCAATATGAATTTGAAATTGCCTTCCACTTCCCGCTCCCTTCCTCGGCCCTCCATCTCTAACACATAGGCCTTCAGCATACGATGTACACACCCCTATCATTCCCAGTCTTGTTCATGACTTTGATTCTTCAGTCTCAAAAGATTATAGTGTTTAGAACTTAAAAGAATATTAGAGATCTTTTGGTCCAACCTTCTTATTTTACAGATGAAGAAAATGAGACTTATAAAGGTTAGATGAATTTTTTCCTATACTCTCTCTCCTACCCTGTGCTATGATAAAAATCCAGGTTTCAGTTTGTACCTTTACATTCTTTGAAGTAATTTTTTCCTCCACTATCATCCCCAGGGATCTGCTTCAGGAAGGAATTTCTGAAAGAAGGAGAGGATAGAGAACCTCATAATGTGGTGGATGAGGTATCTCATGGAGTTTCTCAGAAAACATGGAAAGGTACTTATAGACTTAGAAGGAGCAGAGAGAGACCTTATCATGAAAACCATAGAGTTATAGAATCTCAGAGTTAAAAGGAATCTTAGAAATAGTTCAGTCCTCTCATTTTACAGATGAAGAAATTGAGACTTAGGGTAAGTAATTTGCAAAAAGGGCTAAAACCTAAGTAATTGTATTGAGAAAATGTCAGGACAAAGCAAATGCCAATCAGCTTACAAACATCTGGATGAGGAATATGTTCTAGATAGCCATAAAAGTTACTTTCTATTTCAGAGGGAATGGTCCTATCAGTAAAGAGGAGATGCTAGATTCAATATGTCATTTGTTTGCATCCACCCACCCAGAACATTCTTACTCACTAGGGAAAACTGGTCAAGGGTAGGGAATTTGTCACATGGGCTGATTTTAATTGGCATGCAATTGATTACTAGTAGTGCTGACTGATCCTTGTCAAAAGCTTTTGCCAGCCAAAAAGGCCTATACAAGATATGGTAGCATGTGTACAGTCTCCTTAACCCCCCTTTTTTTGCCTGAAAGTCAGAAACTTGTTATATTACTTTTCAAAGTTAAATATTTTATCACAGTACTTTGAGCTGGATGCACAACTGATTTTAGAGTTATAGAGAACCCTTAGCAACTCACTATGAAAAACCTAGGGCCTAATGGCATGTAAGATTTTATACAGTGATATAGAACTCAATTAAGCATCTCAAAATTGTGTATGTGTCCAATAAGTTATGTGAGGTTGCTAAAACCTGAGGAAACAATTCAAAGCAACCATCAGAGATTAGAGAAATAATTTGTAGATACATTTAGGAACAGAACTATACAAACCAAGCATGGGGAAAGCAGATGAATTTTAG